CTCTCTGCCTGTCACGCGCACAGCCAGAGTGACGGTCACTCGCAATGGCGCCGAAAGCAAAGCACCACAAGGAGGCCGCCGCTGCAGCTGCACCCGCTGTGCGCGACACGGCCGCCCATGCGCCGCCGCCCCGTCCCAAGCGAGACGCCGCCCACCGGTCCTCTGCGCGCGTCGTGTTCGGCGTCGACCTCGACGACCCGCGCGACGCCGAGGACGACGAGCACGTGCTGGTGCCCGTGACGAAGTTTGCCATTTTGGCGATGATTTGCCTCATGTCGTTTGCCATTCGGCTCTTTGCGGTCGTGCGGTACGAGTCGGTACGTCACTCGCTGGCCGTCTCGTCTCCGGCCGTCGTCGGACAGTCTCGTTCGATGGCTCTGTAGAGGGCTTTGTGTATCGTCTCGAATACGGACAGAAGCGGATCGTGGACTGACGTGTGGTGTATCTGTTTTCACAGGTGATCCACGAGTTCGACCCGTACTTCAACTTCCGCACGACCAAGTACTTGGCGTCCGAGGGGTTCCTCGAGTTTCTCGACTGGTTCGACGATCGCGCGTGGTACCCGCTGGGCCGTATCATTGGAGGGACCATCTACCCGGGCCTCATGTACACGGCCGCGCTCGTCTACTGGGTGCTCAACTTGCTCAACATCTCGATCAACGTGCGCAACACGTGCGTGTTCCTCGCGCCGTTGTTTGCCGCGAACACGGCCATTGCCAGCTACTTGTTGACCAAAGAAGTGACCAAGCGATCGAGCGCTGGTCTCCTGGCTGCTGCGTTTGCCGGCATCGTCCCGTCGTACATCTCGCGCTCGGTCGGGGGCTCCTATGACAACGAAGGCGTCGCGATCTTTGCGCTCATCTTTGTGTTCTACCTCTGGATCAAAGCCGTGCACACGGGCTCCATGTTCTGGTCTGCTGCTTGTGCGCTCGCGTACTTCTACATGGTCGCGGCGTGGGGCGGCTACGTCTTTATCATCAACATGGTCCCGATCTACGTGCTCGTGATGATCTTTGCAGGCCGCTACTCCCCGCGCCTCTACATTGCTTACTCGACGTTCTACGCGCTCGGCAGTCTCATGGCGATGCAAGTACCGTTTGTGGGCTTCAATGTCATCAAACAAGCCGAGTGCGCGGGCTCGCACGGAGTCTTTGTGCTGCTGCAAGTGTACTGCTTTGTCAACTGGCTACGGACGTACATCTCGGCCGCGTCGTTCCGTCGCCTTGTGATCATGGGTGCTGGCTTGCTCGTCTCGGGCTTTGCGCTCGCGCTGCTGGTGCTGCAGCTCATGGGCAAAGTGCAGTGGACGGGTCGTAGTCTGACGCTGCTGGATCCCACGTATGCGTCCAAGTACATTCCCATCATCGCTTCTGTGAGCGAACACCAGCCGACGACGTGGACATCGTACTTTTTCGACCTGCACATTCTAGTGCCTTTCGCGCCCGTGGGTCTCTACTTTCTGTTCCAGAACTTGACCGATGGCGGCATCTTCGTGATTTTATACGGCACGGTGGCGTGGTACTTTGCTGGTGTCATGGTGCGTCTGATGCTCACGCTGGCACCCGTTGCTTGCATCCTTGGTGCCGTGGGTATTTCGTCGACCATGCGCAAGTTCATGGGCATCCTCGCGCGTCCATCGACGTTTGTTGTGCAGGCAGACGGCGTGCAGCCTGTGTCGAAGATCCTGGCTCTGGGTGTTGTTTCTGGGATGCTGGTCATGTTGCTGAGCTACAGTATGCACGCTACGTACGTGTCTTCGATGGCGTACTCTTCGCCGAGTATAGTGATCGAAGCCGGCCGAACGCGCACGGGTGAACGTGTGATCTTTGATGACTACCGCGAAGCGTACTTCTGGCTGCGTCAGAACACGGATGCAAACGCCAAGATCATGTCGTGGTGGGACTATGGCTACCAGATGTCGGCCATGGCGAACCGCACGGTCATTGTGGACAACAACACGTGGAACAACACGCACATTGCGACAGTGGGCCGTGCCCTGGCCTCCACAGAGGAGGATGCGTACCCGATCTTGCAGAGCCTGGATGTGGACTACGTGCTAGTGATTTTCGGCGGTGTGACTGGCTACAGCTCGGACGATATCAACAAATTCCTGTGGCCTGTGCGTATCGGTTCCGGCGTGTATCCGAACGACATGCCGTCTGAGCGTGACTTCTACTCGGCCTCGGGTAATTTTGACGTTGGCCCTGGCGGCTCCAAGGTGCTGCACAACTGTCTTGCGTACAAGCTGTGCTACTACCGTTTTGGTGAAGTGAGGACGGACTATCAGCACCCGGCAGGCTTCGACCGTGCCCGTAACACTGAGGTCGGCGTGAAGAACATTAAGCTAACGCACATGGAAGAGGCGTTCACGTCCGAGCACTGGATCGTGCGTATCTTCAAGGTGAAGAGGCCGTCGAATGTAGAAGCCACGACTGCTGTCAAGAAAGCGCGTCTGTCGGAAGCATCGGCGCAAGAGAAGGATATCTCTAACGAGAAGACGCGATTCTTGGGCTGCACGACGGGCGAAGACATGTTGGGCAATGACCGGGTCTACACTGGCGGATCCAGCGGTGCCAACTACAACCTCGCTTTGCATCACGCCAAAGAGAAGGGCAAGCGGTACTTTGCGATCGCGCGTGTGGCGGGTGAAGGCCATGCGTTTGCGTTCAACAAGCTGCCCGTGAACCAAGCGGACATGGACGGTAACGACGAGGGCTGCAAGCGTCCATGCCAGGACTCGACGTCGCACTATTGCGGCTGCGCTGACGGTGGCTGCTCGGACATGAATGTGGGCCCAGGCCAGGGTCAGGAACACAACCGTCGCTGGGCCGTCTATGAGCGTCAGGCGTAGCCGGCCAGCGGTTGAGAGCGTGTGAGAGATGGTGAGAGCGGACTTGCCGTCCCATCAGCTGTTGCGGGCCTTGTTCAGCGCATGTAATGAAGGTGCGACTGTGGGGGAGGTGAGGCGGGGGGGGGAGAGCAAGCAATGTGGATGGCGGTGGCAATGATGATCTCCGTGCGTCTGGTGTAGTCGCGTTTGTCGGAAGGATACGGAGGCGCAGCAGCAGTAGTAAAGCAGCAATAGCAAAACGAATGCGTTGCACGTGCTCACGAGTTGATTCATGCTGCCTTGTCTAGTCCACGAAGTGGTAAGCATGCCGACTGCTCGGCCACAAGTTCCCGGCACAACAACATCGTTCACTCTCCTCTGTGCGCTGCGATTGTCTTGACAGAAAACCCATCTACGCCGACGACTTGCTCTCGCCGCTGGCTTGGCGAGCCGCCTCCTTCTCCGCTTCGATCTTATCGCATAGTTCGTTCACCTTGTCATCCGCAAGCGACTGTACACGACGAGACAAACAACGCACCAAGTTCGCGTTAGACTCGCAATACCTTGCAGACGGACACTCGACAAGCTGTCCCAAGCAGACACAACTAGACACACAGCAACAAGACTGACCGCCACTTTGCCGTCGGCGCCCACAATGACAATCTCAATGTTCTTGCTGCCGGCCTCCACGACTTCCAGCAGTGTCCTGATCGCGAGCGTCACGGCCTCTTCGTCCGTCGCCTTGTCCACGTAGTGCTTCTCAAGGAACTCACGGAGATGGACCGAGTTGCGGCCCGTAGCATTCGCTTTCCAGGCCGAAAACGTGCCGGATGGGTCCGTCTGGTACAAATGCGGCACGCCCTCGTTCGTGCAGCCGGCAATGAGCATCGAGATGCCAAACGGCCGAACGCCGCCTCGCTGCGTGTACTTTTGCTGGACACGGGCCACGTACCGCGCCACGTACTCGACCGACGGCGCGTCTTCGACCGTCAAGCGGTAGCTCTGGCACTCGAGCCGCGCCTTGTTCACGAGCACACGGGCGTCGGCCGTGAGCCCTGCAAAGGCGATCGAAATGTGGTCGTCGACTTGGCAGATCTTGCGGACCGTGCGCGGGTCCTGCAATTTTGCCGTTTCCTTGCGCTCGACCGCGAGCACGACCGAGTTCTGGCCACGTACGCCGACCGCCACAGCGCCCTGGGCACCACAGTGTAGCCATGACGAGATGGATACATCGACAGATATGGGTACACATACATTAGCATTGCAGTGGAGACTCGAGCGGATGGGGGAACGCGATAGAAATAGAAACGCGGCATGGAGAACGTGCTTTTTTCACCGCTTCCATGGCGTATTCCACTTGGAACAAATGGCCATCCGGCGAGAAGACAGTGATGGCGCGATCGTATCTATACAGGCAGTAGGTGAGCGTGAGACATGAGAGAGAGAGAGAGAGAGAGAGAGAGATGAGAGAGGAAGGAGCGTCGAGATAGATGAATGCAGTGTGTCGGACGCAGTGCGAGGGACGGCTCATGCAGCGCGTGTTGGGGCGTGTCGGGGGTGACGTACCTGGACATGATGGCGGTGGTTTAAGCGGTTGTTGATGGACTTGCGGGGAAGATTGCGGGTTCGAAACGCGCGGGTGATGAAAAACAAGCAGAACGAGACGATATGAGGTGGTCGGATATCGGTACGATTCGATGTGCAGTGGATGTGTAGCTGTCGGTAGGAACATACGCCCTGGGCGAACGTCGGCTGGCAACGGGATATCGACAATATGACGATAGGTCGGCTGTCCGCAGAGCCTTTTGTATGAAGAGAGTCGAGCGGTATGTCGATGTGGGGTATACGAGATGGTAGGTCATAAAAAAATTTCCCCAACAAAACTATTTAACTTGGATTAAATTTTTATTAAAAATAAAAATAACAAAAAATAAAGCGTCGAGTAGAAACGGTTTCGACGAGGGGCAGAGCCCAGTGTCGTCAATGTCATACGGTGGCGGTATCTCCGCCTCGACCAGATATTACCGTCCGTGATTGCCGCTCCCAGTCTGAAACTAGTACAACACGGTCGGTATACCGACTGCACCACGCCCATCTTTTGTCGAAAGACCGATACATCACATCTACCGTCGCGAGCGAAGCGCATGCGCGTCGTCGTCTCCCGCTGTCCATGCACCACGAGCTCTTCTTGGCGCTTCTCGGGCACACCGGCGATGTCGTGGAGCGTCGTGTCGACGGTTTCTTCGTACGACCTGACGCACGATCGTTTCTATCGCAAGCGCAATGCAGTATCCTGAACCAGCTGCTGCAACTTGGGTATTCGTTTTCGAACTTAAGCGAATTCATCCGCGACGCTCCACCGCATCCAAGCGTGTACCTCCACGCTGTCGCTCACGCGCTGGAGCAGGTGCTGTACCGGTATACCGAGGCAGTTGTTGCCCTGGAAGCCAAGACATTGCAAGCGAACGCGGTGGGTCCCATGACGAGCGTTCTGGTGGACCTCGACGAGTTTGTTGAAGTGCTGCCACAAGTAGATCGACTCGTGCAGCGACTGCAACGGCCGCAGCCTCAAGTGGACTCGACGCATCGCGCGACATGTGTGAAAGGCGCAGAGCTCTTGAGTCTCGTGCACCGGAGCTCGAGGTCGGGGTTCCCACGAGTGCAGACGGTCATGCAAGAGCTACTGCATTGCTGCCATCGGTGCGTGCAATGTAGCTGCGTTGTTGTAGTTGCTAGTGTGATTTTTGCTGCGGCTCGTGTACTTTTTGCTGCGGCTCGTGTGATGTTTTTGTGGACCGAAGGCTGACGACAAGGGCTGTGTGCAATTTGCTTTGGTAGAGTGTTGCTTAAGCAAATGATGACGTGGATGGTGCATGGCGAGATTGTGGATCCGTATGGAGAATTTTTCATCAAGAGGAAACACGTGAATGCAGTAGCGACGGAGGAAACGACGGTGTCGTGTGACACACGCGACAACAAGGCGACGGCTGCATTGTGGCATCAACAGTTTACGGTCGACTTGGAGGATGTGCCGCTAGATTACTTTCCCGCGTCTGTAGCAGAGAGTGTGTTTGCGATCGGCAAGGCCGTGCAGGTCTTGACGCAAGCAAATCAGTTTTCTCCTCGCGAGGTGCAGGACATCGTCGTGTTCATGTCGGAGCTAGCACGGCGTCCTACTTTTGACGTGGTGGCAGTCGAGCACGAGGTGGAGAAAGTGCGCCGTCATGTTGCCGGTAGACTGCACGAAGAGGTGGTGGTCAAATCAGATTTTGTCGGGTATCTGCACGCGCTGAAAGGATTCTTTCTCTTGTCCCGCGGAGAGCTATTCCACACTTTCATTGAGCGTAGTTTCGACATGATGCTCGTCAAGCCGACGATCAAGTCGGAAGAGGATGTCAATCATGGCGTCTGGCGAGAAGTTGTGCGGGACTTGATACCACAAGACGAAGCCTGGAGTCGAGATTTCGATATGCAGGTTTGTCAAGCGCACATGAGTAGTCCTGTTGTTCAGCAACTCATATTGTATGATGTAGCTTCCACTCCAAACGTTCACACTAGCAGATTTCTCGTCAAGTGATGGCCTCGTGCGCTTCAATGTGTCACAAGGACCACACGCCAAATTCTTGGCAAAGAACTTGCCCACAGAACCGACTCAAGAGATACCTGACAACGAGGAAAGTAGCACTGTTTGGTGGCGTCACGCACAGGTGAATGACGACTCATTTGTGTCCGAGTTTGCGTTGCAATGGGAGCCCAGTGCGTTTTGGTGTGGAAGCCATCGTGCAGCTCTTTTGCTCCGAAATGAAGGCCTGTTGGGCTCGGCTGCATTAGTCAACGGATCATTCGAGCTCGGCGATCCACACGCATTGTACGTGAGCGTTGACCTTGCGATCGAACACCTGCCAGGCAACACGAACGCAATGCGTGTGATGGCTCAAGTAAAGCCCTCGCGCGCACAAGATAGTGGCGTCTCGTCTTCGCCTGTTGTGGAAATCCCCATGGACGATAGCGTCGCTCCAGCAGTCCGCGTCTGTGTTCAATATGCCCGTCGAGAAATTACAAATGCATCGTCGGCGCAAGTCCTGTACAAGAAGACGATGGCTGTGCACGTGAATGACGTGCTGGTTCTCGAGACACACGTTGATCTTCAAGGAGTACTGAGGTTACATGCCACTGCCGGCGGTTACTTCGTCGGACTAGCTTTCTCGTCACTCGTACAGCTTGCGAGCTGGAGCTTGGATAAGTTCTCGGCCAAAACAAGTCGGCGGGAAGGCAGTGGCATCGATCGGACCGGCAGCAGTACGGCAGCATCGCCGCGTGAGTTGTGGCGTGCACTCAATCTGCGCTGCGCTGTACAATGGCCACTGCAACTGCTCGTGACACCCGATCTGCTGCGCTCATATGGGCACCTCTTTCGCTTCTGTTTTCAGCTGAAGCGTGTAGCGCATGCTCTCGAGCGAGCATGGAAGAGTAGCACGTTGCGGTCGAAGCACACTGCCGTCAATGGCGTGATGTTTGCTGCCGGTGCCCTACGTATCCGCATGAGCTTCGTCGTGCGCACGCTTGAGCTCTATTTCCAGGTATTCGTGATCGAAAGTAAGTTCCACAAGTGTGTCGCGCAGATCGAAGCTGCCAAGGACTTTGACCGCGCAAAACGCGTGCACGAGGCGTTCGTCGCAAGCATCGTCAAGAGCTGCTATGTGCATACAAAGACCGTCGCGTCGGCGCTCAGTGACTTGCTCGGCTGCTGCTGGCAGTTTGTCGACTACGTGCTGATGCTGCAGAAGCAGCAGAGTGTCAATGCGAACGGCGTCGCAGCGCTCTCGGTCGATCGCATCGCGATGCTCGACCACGACTTTCACCGCCGCTTTGAGTTTCTCTACAGCGTGTTGCAAGCATCAGAAGCGCGCGACTTGCTCTTCCTGCTCGACAGCAATGGATTCTTTGCCACCGAACGAGAGCGAAAGAAGCAGCAGTTGCAACGGTAGCACAATGGAAGAAGAGAGCCAAGGAAGAGGACGGAAGGGGACCGAGTGCGTGACGTCTCGTGTCCCACGTGATCCAGCGTCGCTATATCTCGGGTGCAGCTATCTTGATCTGAAGCTGGATGTTTTCTGGACCGACCGACCGACAGACAGACAGACCGTCGGTCACGAAAGGTTTGACAAGCAAGAGAAACCCATCGAACAACCAAACACCTGCGACCTTATGCTGCAGGCCCGTCTGTCACGACATGGAGAAGCAGCGACAGTCCTTAGCAATGCGACGATAGTCTATCGCCACATGGTCCTTGAGCGAGGGGGTGGGAAGAAGGCGACATACCCCCACCCTACCGATAGATTCTTATGTCGAGCGTTTGATCAATTGGTGACAGCAGTCCGTTTTCTACGCCTCCGACTTGTGGGCACAGCGGCCCGTCTGTGTCGAGCCTGTGACAATAGCTTCCGCACGGCTCGTCTGGCCGGTCACGTCCTCACGTCACGTCGTGTCCCGTCTTGTCTGCCATTCGCGTTTTTGTCGCTTGAGGGCCATCCCAAGTGGGCGTATTTTGGGTCCGCAGGCCTTTTTTTCTGTGCGCGTGTGTGCGTGTGTGTTGTTTTGGGTTCCCTCTGTCCACTGACGCACGAAACAAAAGCGTCTCGAGTGTCTGACGCCGGCAGTTCATTCGGCAACGTCAACCGCATCCATTAGGTCAGAAGGGAGAGAGAGAGAGAGAGAGAGAGAGGGAGAGAGAGGGGCGATTAGTGTGCGACGTGTGTGTGTGATTTCGATAGCCCACGACCGCGTGCGTGGGTACGGGAAAGCTGACAACGACGTCGTACGTGCTCATGGCGGACGCCACCACGTCCAAGTTGGAGCTTTCGGCTCGAGGTCTCGAGCGATCGAGTGATGAAGTGGACCGGATCGCGATGTCGTGGTCGGGAGATAGGGAACGAACACGAAGGAGGAGGAGAAAGAGGTCTGAAGATTGTGCGTGGCAATGGACGTGGTGCTGGAAGCGAGCGAGCCGAGCAGCGAAGCGTTTGTCCGGCGTCGCCTCGAGTCGAGACGAAGACGGCGAGCGCAGTACGAGTCGGGCGAGTGCGAGCTCGGCGCTCCGCCCGCCACACGAGCAGCAGCAGCAGCTCAAGCAGCAGATTGCACACTACTCGACCATGCGCGTGCACATGAAGCGCGTGCAATTGTGTCTCGAGCGCGAGAAGCGCAACAAGTTTTACAAGGAGCTCGTCGTCTACCTCGGCTTCTTGGCGGTCGTGATGGCGACGTTGTTGACACTGCCGGTCCATTTTCCATTTGAGCAAAACGCGGCACTCACGAGCACGTACTTTCAGGAACAAGTGGCGAGCGACACGCCGTTGAAGACCTTTTACACGGTTGGCAGCGAGCGCGAAATGTGGCAGTGGGTTCAAGGACCGATGCTGTCGCAGTTCTATAGCTCGCCGCTGCGGAATAGTCGTGCGATTGGCAGCATTGAGATCCGAACAGGTCGTGTGAAGGGCGCGTTGTGCAGACAGACAGCAGGACGAGAGGACTTTGTCATGTTTACCGATGAGATCTGCTACCCTGCGTTTTCGAGTCGCAACGAAATGAAAGAACCGTATGGGAATGACAGTGGCGTCCTGGGTGCACAGTATCAGTGGACTGGTCAACTGAGCAAGCTGCTACGATCCGAGACGTTTGATGCAGGCCTCGTGGGCCACGATAGGGACTACGGTCACGGCGGGTACGCAGTATACCTGCCGCGTGACAACTATACTGCAGCCATCGCGCTGGCTCAGCAGCTGCAAAGCGACTTTATCGGCGACGACACGCGGTATTTGGTCTCGACGTTTGCATTCTATAACGCGCGCAGCAACATCTTCTCCCACGTGCAGGGCCTGTTTGAGATGAGCAACACGGACTATATGGAGGTTACAGGAAGGATCAAGAGCTTTCGCATCACAGCCAGCTACAAGGACACTAGAGAGTTCCTGGATGCCAATGCTCTCGTGATTGTCCTGTTGGCTGCCACACTACTGCTTGTGACGCGGGAGATATCGGATTTGCGCAACTTTGGGCTGCGCAAGTACGTGCAGTCTCTCTGGAATCTCTTGGATATGCTCCAGCTCGTGCTACTGATTGTATTTCTCACGCACTGGGTGATTTTCATTGTGCGCTCGGAGAATATCCGGGACGACCTGTATCGTGTCGGCGACATGGATTGCTCTGGTCCAGCGGAAGACCAGGAAAGCGCGCGAACGTGCTTTGTCGATATCGATCAACTGGCGTGGTTGTTTCGCACGGTGAACAATTATGCAGCGGCACTTGGGCTCGTGTCTGTGGCGATAGTGTTCAAGTATTTGCGCTTGAACTCGCGCTTGAATTTGCTGTGGCGCACGCTTCGCTTTGCAGCCAAAGACCTCCTCGCGTTTGTGATCATTTTCTTCACGATTTTCTTCGGCTTTGCAGTGATGGGGTTTCTCACGTTCGGTACCGGAGTGCGGCAGTACCATTCGCTGTCTGTGTCGCTGACGAGTTGCTTTCAGATGCTGTTGGGTGCGTTCGACTACGAAGAGATCCACGTTGCGAATCCGACTATGGCCGCCATTTTTTTCTTCAGCTTCATGATCGCTATCTATCTCATTTGTATCAACATGTTCATCGCTATAATGAGCGAGTACTACTCGTTGGCGCAGAATGAGAAGAAGGCACTCGAAGAGAACATGCGGCAAAACATAGCGGAAAGCAGAGAGAACAAGAGGGATGAAGACTTTTATGATTCGCTGCAGTTCATGGACGTGGAGTATGACTTGGCCAAACAAGCAAAGAATTGTGTCAATGGTCTGCGGGTCCGAGTGAAGATGCCACCAGTCAAAGACGGCAAGTCAGTACACGATACCGAACAGCTTGTCTTACGCGGTTCCCAGCGGGTTCTCCTCGTGGATTATGACTACCTCATTTCGGAGCGGAAACGTCTACGTCGGAAGTTTCGAGCGTGCGTGCACCTCATCATGGTTTGTGGCGACTTGATGCGCCAGAGCGACCCGGACTTTGTGATGCAAGTGGAGATGGAAGTAATCGGAGAGCGCTTGCGTCCTCGATCGGATTCTACTGAATCGTCAGCTGATCTCGTCGAGTTTCCAGTCACCTACGTACCTCTAGCCTCCCCCCTGGCCTGCACTGTTGAAATTCTGAAGCGCTTGAAGCGAGGCATGGTTATCGAGATTGACGATGGATCGCTCACACATGACCAGATCACACTCGAGGTGCTCGGAGACCAGGACGAATACGTCCCGTTATGTTCCAAGTACCGACCGCAGTCTGTGGAGATGGATGACGACTATCGCGAGGCGAACGACGGATTTCGCGTGCGCATCAGTGAAGGTGCCAGCGCTGTTGACATGACTGGAAATCACTGCAGCAGCAAGTTTGGTCTGCGACACAACCACCCGACGATCGGTGGACCAGGTCACATTCGGGCATGTCGCGTGCTGTACAATGGCAATGCACTGCTGGACGGCAACGAAGTCTGCCTCATGCCGCGCTCGACTTGGTTCCGCTACTTTGTCGAGTACGTCGGGTGGGGCTACTTGAAGCGCCATTTAACCTGCAAGCGGAAGAAGAAGACAGCCCGTCGCCTCGTGACGGATGCGGAAGTGGATCAGCTCATTCAGGAAAGTTTTGTTGCGCCTGGACGCGGCATTTCGTGCCGCTTTGACGAGCTTGTGCGCAACTTCCGCATGTTCATTGCAAAGAAGATGCACACGCGGCATCTCGCCATCCCGAACCTCGAAGAGCGCATCTTCCAGGAAGTGATCACGTTCCTCGACCGGTTTCCATCAGCAGTCACGCCATTGGAACAGCGCGAACTGGGTGGCTACAAGTACACGCCCCAGCCGCTCGACACGCGTCACATTCGCCTGCCGCACTCGATCAATCTGCTGACCGAGTTGTTGTCGCAACACGCGCACGAAGTGTGGTCAGTGGGCCGCATCGAGCAGGGCTGGCGCTGGGGACCGCAGCGCGACAACGACTTGAAGCTCCACCCGGACCTCGTGCCGTACGAAGCCCTGACCGAGCAGGACAAGCAGTACGACCGCGACACGTCCATGTCGGCGCTCAAGGTCATTACGGCCCTGGGCTATGTCTTGGAGCCTCCGGCGCGCACCGACGCGCGGCTAGACGGGTTTGAGTTTGGTACGGCGGCCGCCGAGCCGGGGGCCACGTACGTCCCGCGGCCGATCCCAACGGACGACGTCCCGGTCCCGCTGCACCTGCGCTCGGTGATTGAGCTCCTGGCGGAAAACACACACGAAGTGTGGGCCGCGATGCGCATGGCGCAGGGCTGGAAGTTCGGCCCGCGGCGGCACGACGGCCGCAAGGAGCACGACGGCCTCGTGCCGTACATGTACTTGACGCAGGCCGAGAAGCAGATGGACCGCAACACGGCGCTGCAGACGGTCAAGTTGATCCTGCGCTGTGGCTTTGCGTTCGAACGCAAGGACCGGCACCGGCATCGCAGCCGCAGGCCCGCGGACCGCCGCCTCCACGCCGTCGGCCGCAACGAAAACCCCCACGCGCGGAACGTCAAAGAGGCCGTGACAATGGCGCGCGGCGCCACGCGCGCCAAGTGCGCGTTCCTCGGCCGCGACAGCCGCTCACCTGCTGCGGCCGCGCCACTCGACCGCGTCGACGCCGACCGCGCCCAGCCATAGCGGACCTAGTTGCCTATTTTCTGTACGATCAACGGCTTCACTGTACGCACGTCCGACGTTCCGCCCCCCCTCCCCCACGTTTTGTACGACGACTGTCAAATCCGTTACCGTCCGCTATTCGTCGCTCTAATTGCCACTCGCTGGTCATGGCGTCGCCGGCGGCTCTGGACGTGGCCGCGCGCGACGTCGTGCGTCTGATCCTGCAGTTCCTGCGCGAGCACCGCCTGTTCCACGCGCTCGAGGCGCTGCAGCACGAGACGCACGTGGCGCTCGACGTCGTGGAGGCGCCCGCGTCGCTGCAGCGCGACATTGTCAACGGCCGCTGGGACCGCGTGCTGCCCCAGACGCGGGGCGCGCTCGCGGGCCGTCCTGCGGCGCTCATGGACCTGTACGAGCTGCTGGTGCTCGAGCTGATTGAGCGACAGGAGACGGACGTGGCGCGGGCGCTCGTGCAGCAGACGCCGGCGCTGCAGACGATGCGCGCGACGCAGTTGGAGCGGTACCGGCGCCTCGAGGCGCTGGCGCGTGGACCGTTTGATGCCGCTGCGGTGTTTGGGGACGTCAGTAAACAGCAGCGGAGGGACGCGCTGGCGGAACAGGTGGGGCAGAGCGGTGCGGAGGTGGAGCCGTCTCGACTGCTGGTGCTGCTGGGCCAAGCGATCAAGTGGCAGGAGATGCAGGTACGGGCAGGCGAGACGGGTGTGGCTGTTGTTGCTGCTGCTGCTGCTGCTGTTGTTGTTGTTGTTGTATGGGGAGAGTGAGCTGTTGTTGGTGGTGTTGGTGGTGTTGTGGTGGTGGTGTAGGGGTTGATTGTGCCGGGGGAAGACGTGGACTTGTTTCGAGGAGGGGCAAAGGAGAACGTGGTGGATCGCGTGGACGCGCTGGTGCGACGGCCTGCGGGAAAGCTCAAGTTTAGCAAGTCGTCCGTGCCGCAGTGTGTTCGGTTCAGTCGGGACGGGCGGATGCTTGTGACGGGCGCCAAGGACGGGTTGGTTGAGGTCTGGGACTGGGACAAGTGTACGCTGCGAAAAGACCTCGAGTACCAAGCACAGGTACGGACAAGAACGCTGTCCAGTGCTGCGGTCGTAGTGGGATGGAGGGTCTGGTGGTGTGTATGTGTGTGCTGAGTGGCTGTTGGTTGTCGGCGTGTGGTTGTTGGTGCTCGGCAGGACGAGTTTATGATGCATGATGCGAGCGTGACAGCAGAAGCGTTTAGTCAGGATGGAGAGTTGCTGGCAACAGGTAGTGAAGACGGCACGGTCAAGGTGTGGAAGGTTGCTACGGGCACGTGTCTGCGTCGCTTTGACCGTGCGCACAGTCAGGGGATCCAGAGCATTGTGTTCTCACGGGATGGCACGCAGCTGCTCACGGCTTCGTTCGATCACCTCGTTCGCATTCATGGCCTCAAGTCGGGTCAGACACTGAAAGAGTTTCGCGGCCACGAGAGCTACGTCAACACAGCCGTCTTGACGTCGGACGGTAGCAGAGTTGTCTCGACGTCGAGCGACGGAACGCTGAAGATCTGGAACGCAACGACAGCAGAGTGTCTGCAGACTATACGCCCGCCTGCCGAGTCCTTCAATGCTGAAGTTGATGTCGTGAGTGCGTTGCTAGTGCCAATCACGTCTGGAATGGGCGAGGACATTATCATGTGCACACGCACGAGCGAGATGCATCGTATGTCGATGGCAGGGAACGTGGTGGCGACGTACAAGGGCGACCCTTTCGATGACAAGAAAGTTGGCAACTTTGTTGCGTGCACGCTGTCGATGCGTGGCAAATGGTTGTATGGCGTGACCGACAAGGGGTTCCTCGTGAGCTTCGCTGCAACAACAGGCGAGCTCGAGTCGTCATTGCAAGTTTGCAACGCCGATGCGTTTGGCATTGCGCATCACCCACACCGCAACGTTGTAGCGACATATGGCAGCGACCGATACGTCCGACTATGGAAAGCGTGATGCAACGACAAGAACGAACCAGCGCACGTGGTTGACACCTGGGCTCGTCATGCTCCCACATGGTATGCTATTCACGCCTACTCTCCGCAAGAATGCCCCACACCGACAACGAGAAAGCATTGCTGCAACGCAACATGATCAAGATGCTGGATCGATGCCATGGTGTCGTGCCGAGATCGTTGGCATCGTCGTCACATACACGTGACGTACAGAAAGGAACACCTAGGGCAATCTCGTCGTGCATGGTTGGTTGTCTATTATTTCTTACCCTTCTTGCTCTTGCCTACCTTCTTCTTCCTGCCTTGCGTCTGCTTTCCACTCTCTTCCTCACGTGCTAGCTCTTCACCAAGCTGGTACGGCGACCGGAAAGAAGCTGAAATGTCGCTCGAGACCGCCGTGGCCAAGCCTTGTGCGCGAGAGCCGAATCGGCGCTTGACACTCTCGTCGTCAAAGGTGTCCCACAGCGCCAGCACACCCTTTGAGCCTCCCACTCCGAGCATGAATGGCGAGTCCTGGTAGAAGGACAGTGCAAACAGCTCACCCTGCAGAGCACAAAACATGCAGTCGTCAACAACCAGCAGACCACCAACGTATCGATCGACCAGATCAAAGTGCGGCAACGTACCACATTCATCTCCATCGAGGTGACACACACAGGAGCATTGTCCTTGAGGTCCCACAGCTTGACGGTCTTGTCGACGCCAGCTGTGGCCATCAAACCAGGCACCTGAGCTGAGAAGGAGATGGCTGAAACGGTGCTGCTGTGGGCGTCGAAACGAAACAGCGGGGACGATCCATTCATCCGCACGTCAAAACCCACCACCACGCCGTCTTCCGACGACGCTACAATAGTGCTCGGACTGTGCGGGATCCACGCGAGACTCTCCACTTCGGCACTCAGCTGGAACTTGGAAAACGCGTCCGGCTGACGGCCATCCAGCACGACAATGTGCCGGTCAAACGATGCGCTGGCAAGCACCGTGGTCTCGGCTGGATTCCAGCGCACACCCTGGACCTTGTCGCTATGGTGTGTCATGGTATACAAGCACTTTTGCGTCGTAATGTCCCAGACCTTGACCGTCGAGTCGGCTGACCCGCTTGCCAGCATATTTCGGTGGCTACTGTTCCAGTCCAGCGCCATGACGGCATCTTGGTGACTCCCCGGCTTGAGCGCTGTCTTGCGGCTTTTCCGTCGCTTCGAGACTTCAGGCATGGCAACATTGCGCAGATCTTCGTCCTGTTCCCCGCCGAGCGTCGCCGAGGGCTCGAGCACGTCCATCACATTGAGGTCCCAGATCTCAATGCCAGTCTTAAACGTGCCGACCGCTACAAAACTGCCATCGACCGGCCCTGTACTTGCATCCAGTGGCACAGGCGCGCAGTCCATCCAAGCCATGCACAGCGGAAACGCAGGCAAGTTGACCTCGTGGTGCACGTACAGCGCACCGTTCTCATCGTCATAGACCTGGACTTCGAGACTGCTAAAGTCTTCTTCCGTATTGGCCACGAGAATGACACTGTCGGTAGGGCGAATCTCCACGTCTTCCTTGTCAATCTCCAGCTCATCATCCTCCTCCTCGTCCTCCTCCTCTTCCTCCTCGTCCTCTTCCTCTGTTTCCTTGTCGTCCATCGCAACATCGCTCTCGTCGTCGTCTACGACGTCACGGAGCCCCTCGTCGTCGTCCTCCTCGTCGTCCTCCTCGTCAATTGCACTGGGGCCTGAACTGCTGTCAATAAAGTTCTTGAGCGCCACGTCGTTGTCCTCGTCGTCGTAGTCGTCCATCTTGAACGACAGCGGCAGTCCATTGCTGTCCTTCGCGTCCTCCGGCAGCACCTGCTCTTCTTCCTGTTCCTCGTCTCGTGCAGCTTCGTCTCGTTCTCCTTCTTCTTCTTCTGCAGCGCGTTCCTGCAGCAACTGCACCTCTTCGTCCGTGAGCACCAACTTCGCCGGCAGGCGACGGGACGCGCCCTTGGGGACCCACGCGAGGGCGGAGATCATTTCTGCAGCCACTGGACGCACAACGAGCGCAAGTGCTGAGTGGATCAATTGAATGGACAAAACGATTCGACGCGCAGTTGTGGCACAGTGGGCGGGCGACACCAGCGATTTCGGAACCTGTGAGACTGAATACACTCTCAGCGCTGATGGCTACACAGCGGCGTAAACCTCGAGGGCGTACAAAGTGTCGTGCGGACGTGTGCAACACACAACTGGCAGTTCCACCCAATGGCGGTCGCTGCTCTCGAGCGTCAACAGTGTGGCACTCGTTCGTTGTCGAGTCGTTGTTCCACGCTGAAGCGCATCACTTTGGCATTGCCAAACAGCGTTGGCATTCAAATGGACGCGACAGTATACAACGTACCCAAAGGAAGAAGTTTATTGACGTAACGGAAGTAGTCCATTGACGACGTTATGTGCTTACGCTCTCTAGCGGGAAATCCGATCGCTGTGCTATGCTGTCAATTAGTCGATGACACGACAGTGCGAAGATACAGAGGACGACGTATTGAAGCGTATACGAAGCAACACGTACAGACTGTGAAGCTTCGGGTCGTCAGCTGCTGTTTTTGACCGTCATGTACACTCGAAACCCACCAGTGCGTCCCGTGAGCTCGTCGGATGTCTGCTCTAGAATGTCCGCTTTATAACTAGACCTGCTCGCCTGTGTTTCCCATTGCCAGGCTATTGTGCCGTACATTGCAGACAGCGACGTACAATACAGCGTAGAGCCTGTGTCATTGTTGTCTTATGTACCAGATACCACACGAGTCCGTTGAGTCGTATCCCGATAAAAGGCTTTGTCCATCCGCGTCTCTTGCGTCTGCAACATGTGTACGAACGCTAATGTGGGTTCGGCGATCTTGACACCAAATTGATCATTCGATGTGCACCACGCGAATCGAGGCCACACCCGCTTGCACAACAAAGCACTTTGTATATCATACACATTTGGTCAACTGCTTACCGGTCCATTCTTTGGCAGCCATGTCGACGAGCGAATGCCTCGCGCGCGTGCGTCGCATGCGGACGCTGTCAGCGCTGCTGGACGAAGATCCGGACACAGACGACCAGATCTCGGAGGAGTGTCGTGCGCTGTTCGAGCACGTGACGAAAGCCGCGTCCACAGACCTCACGCACAGCAGCAGCAGCAGCCAAAGCACTTTTTTGTGTGTCGAATGCCAAGCCCACGAGTCGGAGCTCTTTTGCGAACAGTGTCACGACTATTTCTGTGAATTGTGCTGCAGTGGTCAGCACCGGAAGGGCAACCGACGGAAGCACACGTTCCAGCCTTGCAATTTGACGTCAGAAGATGCGGTAGTCGCCCAAGACGCGACGACAGACGTGGCAATGGACGCGACACAAGACGCCGTGAAGGGCAGTGTACGAAAACAAGTGCTTTTTGACTGTTTTTGTATACGAAAAGCAGAAAAACCGAGCGCGTGGGTGGCTTTTCGATGGAGACCGTGGCATTGCTGTTGACTGTTGTTTCTCTTGTGGACTGTATGTGACTGCAGAGTAACGAGAACGAGCTGAGCGGAGACACGAGCAGCAGTGGAGAGGAAGAAGAAGTCGTTGAGCGTGGCGGACAGGACACTGTCAATCGCGGCTCTGCATCCGGAGACGATGTTACTGCTTCCACTTCTGCTGCTGACTGCTCGGATGACGAGGAACCTGCTCCACGGCGTAATATGTGCGACTTGATGGGTCATTACTTGCTAGGGTACCCGTCATCGCTGGACGCTGTCCATCTCACGGACGGTCATGCTACTGCTGCAAGTGACCAGGCAGCTGCTGAAATGCTGGAACGAGCCAAGTACATTCCCGTGCGACTCACCTATGAAGAACGTAAGCTGCTGCGTGCACTGGAGGCAGCGTTGTGCGTAAGCTGCTACACGGACAAGCTGGACACGCCCACGTTCGTGGCGCCGGCCAAACGTGTGCGTGCGCAGCTGCAAGACGTGTGTGGCTTCCTGTCGGCGTTAGCCGTGGCGTCAGACTACAAGGCGGGCCAGGAGGTTTTGGACGAAAAAAACTTTGCTGAGAGCGCCGAGTTCTTTCAAGGCATATTTGAGCTGGGTAGACGGTACAAGATCATGAATCCAGAGAAAATGCGCGGGGAGTACGGCAAGCTGATGTACCTGTTGCAGGACGCCGTGAGTCCAGAGCTGCAGGAGCTGCTGGGGTTCTCGTGTCTGCAGAAGATACGCACTGTGTACGATGTATTGGAAGCTGGCGGTGCTCTAAATATGCTGCGTGATTCCCGTATTCAGCCTGCTACGATGGTGGTTGCCCCCGAAGGCAAGTCGCGCTCTCAGATCCAGCGTCAGATCAAGCAAAAGGAGCAGGCCATTCGGGCTTTGAGCGACAAATATGAGAGTCGACGCCTCACACGTGACACCCTTCAGCAGTGTCTGTACTCGATTGCAGATAATAACTACCACCTGTACTTCGAGCGCGACCCGATCGATCGCATGATTAAGCTGTTGACGGCGCACTTCAGCCCAAGTGATGAGCAGGAAGATACTTCTTTGGCGATCGTGAGTGGCAACGACGGTGCCCGGTTATCCCATTCACACGCTCGCCAGTACAACTATGTGCTTCAGTCATTGACGCTGTGGCGCGAGATCACGCACGACATGTTCCGCCTGTGGTGTCTGACGGACGAGGACTTGCTTGCCGATGGTACGCGATACGAGCTAGCGGACACTGGCCAGGGTCTACACCGCATCCAGCCCGCGCCTCGTGTGTCCCGTGCCATGCATGTCATTCTCCACTCTACACAGCGCAATTTGGACTCGTGGGTGGGCTCGAGTGTCATCCATCTTGGCGACAAGAATGTCCCGAATGCGCTCATGTTCATCGACAAGTACACACAAGTCGGGCACATTCTGCGTCCGATCGTCAAGGCAATCGATAGTATCGATTCGATACAGGCGATCCAAGGGTACGTGGACACCACGTTTGGTGGTGCGAGCAAGCTGAAACGCACTATTCTGGCAGACTTTTTCCGCGAAGCGTTCGACGGCAGTGGTGCCGACAACTTCTTTGAGGCTGGGTCATGCATTGATGGACGACTTACGAGTGCCTGGAATTGGTGTTCGAACCTTCATCAAAAGCCTTTCTTCCCGATATTCAAGATCACGGGCTTCGTTGGCTTTGACGGCAAGTTTGGCTAGACATACAATGTACTACAAGTAGACGCACGCCGCGCAAGCTGGAACAGGGATTTCACTACGTCCATCGTCTCTATCCGTCACGTGCTGCAAAATGTCGGAGTGAGCGTGAGGCGTTCAGCTTTGCGTCCTGGAAGTTGACCTCTCACTTGCGTCACGACCCCTCACTTCCGTCACGACCTCTCTCTTGGGTCACGCCCCAACAAAGCTGAGCTCGTTGTTGCGCTTGTGTCCGATGCTTTTCGTGAGCTTTCTGGCAAGCCGTCACTGTTTCTCCGCGTGCTTACTGGCAGGTCACGATAAAACTTCATCAGCTTCTTTTCGGCATCGACGCTGTAAGCAGGGTTCCCGTACTTGCGGTACAAAGCAATGTAGCAGTCCATGCTGTCACGTGCTTCGCGGAAAACGGAGCGTCTGAGTTCACTCGGCCGGCCCTCCATGAGTTTTTCTTCTAAACCAGCAGGAAGTATGCCGTAAACAACCTCCGGACTCAATTTCGACCGAATCCATAGCCGCATCATTGTCACCAACGTTTCCGCTGGATACCGGGCAGCTAGAATCCTCTGCATGCTGTCGGCGTGCTTCTCCATGCCATCGGCGCTTCGAAAGAAATGGAAGAAGTGCACGAGATCGACGAGGTCTACGCGCGGCTCCTGTTGGCCGTCCCTCAGCACAGGTTTCGTCAGAAATTCGACCGCGTCACGGTAGTTCCAGCCGTCCTGTTGACTTTGGAGCTCCCTGCACATGAGCTGCTCGAACTCTCTCCATTTGACAATCTTCCCCCTAATCACAACAGGGCCCTCGATCACGTGCATGGCAGCATCGTCAGCGAGCGGTAGTGCCCGTGGGTGCACGTGGCCTTCTAAGCTCATTATCGCCCAGTCGAATAACTCTGATACAAGCGGCAGCTTCAATTCATACGCCCTCTCGTCGACCTTCTGGTCCCTAGCGGCAGTGCGTGGCGTCCCACGCTCGGACGCGACGAACGCGGTCGTGTCCAGACGAGCAGACACAGAACTGGACGACGTGAGGGCAGCAGCGTCGGTTTGGTTTCCGCCAGTGGGAGTGATTGCGTTCACAGGTTGGCACAGAAAGATGAGTTCCAAGGCCGAGAGCCCATAATAGTATAGCAGACGCATAGTCGTACTGAGGGCTGTCGGGCACTTTGCACAGTGAGAGAGGAGAGACCGAAGCTGCGGTTCCCTCTGACTGCTGTGTTGTGGGCCGTCCAGAGAGAGAGCGACTCATCTTGATAAGCGTCTCGGACTTGATTCATTCTTGAGTAAATCTTAAAACCAGTACCACAAATGCACAAAAGTCTTAAAACCAGTACAATACTCAACTCAAGTATAAACAACACGCTAAATAGTGTCGACCACATTATACTAAACTGCAACATGGGACAAGAAACTGCTTGATTGCTTGGGAGAGCGAGAGGGTAGTAAGTGAAACAGTCAATGACAGCAAGCGCGGCAGCAAGTAAGTTGAAATACATTCGATTGGCCCTTTCGTGCCCAATGCTAACAATTCATATAGCTACCAGCTCGTACCGTGCCTCTTTTAATTAGTCATGTAAGCAGCTGTAGAAGCTTTGAATTCCGTGTCCGACCAATCTTTCCCTTGTGGACCAGCAAGGATCGTTCGGGGTGAACGATTGGGGTAACATCAGTGGTCAGGGCGGCACGCCAAGGCTCGGCGGTCTAATGGCCCAGACCCTATCACGGGCTTCGATGCTGGAAAGCGCGGAGTTGTTAAGAACGTGTGGGCCCTATGAGTATACCCACACCCGACAACCTCGCACCTGGACCAACTGGAGCTGACATACCTGTGGGCACTGGCCTGCCCAATCCGTATAACCAATGTAAAAGGGACATCTACGGGTACAAGGTAAGTATCATACGCATCCACCTATTGCCGCTATTGGCGGCTAGGGACCGTACGCTCCCAAGTCTTCCCATTAACCGCAGCAAGTGTAACGGGGCACTGTTGACTACGTACTGGTTGACCAGTACGGAGTATACTCCCACTGACGACAGTGGTCGACAGTGCCCTGCTAGGTGTTTTAAGGAAACACAGAGGAAGGAAAGGAGACTAAGTAGTCAGACTAGTCTCTTGGTAAAAGTAAAACTGTATTAATATAATCAAGTCCTATAACTCCTTGAATCTTCTGTTGTCCTGACTAAAATATACCAACCTAACTGTATGTATGATGACGTCTACTCACCACCCATTGCGCGCGTCTAGCAGCGATTGGTGGGTTGATATCATCACGATATCAACCAATGAGTAGACCCTTCGGTCATCCCAACAATATCACCATACCTGTGATATTGTTAAAAGAATATCCGACGTAATATTGTTTATTGTCAGATTGTTTTAATGACAATCTCATGTAACGGGCTACCCCGTTACATCACCCCTCCCTTATCTGATAGTCACCGTGTGACTTTCGAAAACTTGGTGGCCACCTGTTGGACACCAGTGGGACAGGGAGCACTTGTTCGGTCAGACCCATTCACTCCTGACCTTGCCTCGCATAGTTAACATGTCTATGCGAGGTGATTCGAAGACCACACAGCCTGCTGCTGTGCCAGACTCTGCGGCAGACGCTTCGTCGTCTGCTGCTTGTTCTCCGTCTGCAGCAGAAGGTGCTGCAGACCGTACGCGGTATCGCACCACGTGCACATGATGACCTTGGCAATGAGGTCATCAAGTATGGCGAGTCAGACGTGCCTGACTCGCGCAACGTTCCAGAGGCATCCCGATCACCGGCGGTGCCTCATCGTTCGTCAAGAGCACTGTCGAACGAGTGGACTCGTGAAATACATCCCAGTCTGTTCGGCAGTGATGACGAACTCAATGGTGAGGAATACTATGCCTCACCAGTATCAACTCGTGCTTCCCCGCAAGAGCGTGATGACGATGGCGAGAGCCACCGTCATTCTGTAAGCCGTGGTACCGAAACAGGTACCACATTGAAGCGTGGTGAGCTCAAGCCGTGGCGATTACCCGAGCAGCTCATCAATAGCTTATCGCACGAGACAAGCCAACACCATAGAGCTCCTTTATTCGATGCAACTAAGCTTCATGGCTTAAGTTCCAGCGCGAGTAACTTCCGCGCTGAAGAAGACTTCTATCTCGATGCCTTCCTTAGGCATCGATGGTATAATGGCAACCGAAAGCGTGACAAGAACTCGCTTTTGGCAGCGTGGAACGCCTTCGTCCAAAACGTCAAGAATTTTGGACGAGAAGGGTGGCTTAAGAAGCTTGAGGCGACACGCCTCAAGTTCGAAAAGCGAGCGCCAACCGGTGCAAGGTACTGGTTGCATAATCTGTCAAGTGGGGCCGGCATTCCTTGCCTCACATGGGGAGACCCTTGTGCGAGATGTATCGACAACTCGCAACGTGCACATAGGGACGTGTATTCCCTAAGTTCGCCCTGGGGAAGGGCACACATCTCGGATGAGATGCGGGACGCGATTGCAAACTTGCAATCCGTCTACAAGCGCCAAAAGCGCGTGTTTACCGATAGGCCCTCGGACCAATCGGATGAGTCTCGTCATACTGGTGGACGAGACCTTCAACGTCAGCCATCAGCTGGGAACGAGGTTCCCAGCTGTCAAAGGAAGGTAGGTACCCACGCCACCGGACGAGGTAACTCGTCCTTGATTCCGAATCGCCACGGTGGTTCAAGATACGCTACACAAGAAAGCGTTGACCACCGTGGGAATCCACCAATTGTTCCGGTGGCGGTGGAAAGACAAGGTCCGGCTCAGCCGCCGGGCCTGCACGAGACTTTGGGTAACCACGAGCGTTACCTGAACGAGCTGAGGGAGGACGTCGATCACGGGAACGATCGTCGGCACGCCTTGCAGTCGGACGTGCGACGTCGTCGTGCCGATCGGGAGAAGGACCGATCGGAGTTCGCGTTCGCTCAGCTTGAAAGTGAACGCGAGAGGCGTCGTTTGCGCGACGAGCTAGAGACGGCTCGTCGCGAGGCCGCGTCGATGAAGGACCAACTCCTTTCGACGAAGGACCAACTTCAGTGTTTGGTCCGTGATCACAAGAATGTGTTGGGGATTCTTGAGCGCGCCGGTTATCTCCGTTCTCGCAAGAGGCCTCGTACTGATGGTACGGGCGGAGACGGCCAACATAAAATGTAGGATGCGTGCGCATCCTGCGAGGCAACTCAATCGTGTATGCATTGCCCTTGCGGTGCAACACACGAAAGGGACCAATGCATTTCGGCTGTAGTTTACTACTGCCTACATTAGTGACTACATGTCCAGGTAAGTTTACCGTATACATTATCACTAGGTCGTTCACCTTAATTGAAAGAAAATTTGCTCTTCCATTCCTGTCTGCGTTCCGTTTCTGGCGGTCCACCGCATTTGCGATGAAGTCCTGGACGAAACGGACTACAGCCTCTCGAGTCAGCAGGAAGTTCTCTGCTGACTCTTTGTTTTGTCTTTTAGTGCGCTTCGTGCGCACTGCTAAGAGATCGTTCTCTTCTTCAACGAGGGTATCTTCTTCCTCGCTGCCATTGTCGTTGACGATGCTGAATATCCCAGCATCGTCGTCATTGTCTGATGTAGCAGCAGCGTCATCGCTACTGCTAAGCTCGATTTCCTCGATGTCGACGTTGTCGACATCGGCATCAAACGTATCGGCGTGAGCGGTGATACGTGATGAGCAAGAGCCAAAACGGCTTTTGCTCGAGCGAGTCCCTCCCCCCTTAACTCAGAGTCACTCTGTATGAGAGCGGGAATACGTGGGTGGCGTAAGCCATTCACGTAGAACGGTGTATGCGTTGTGGACGCATGCACGGAGTTGTTGATGGCAAACTCAACCATCGGTAAGAACTCACTCCAATGTGAAAAGGAGTGAGCGTATCCACCAAGAATTTCTTCGAGGACACGGTTCGCACGTTCTGTCTGGCCATCTGTTTCAGGATGGTCAGAGGTTGACATCTTCAACCTTGTTCCCAATGTGCGGAACACGGATTGCCAAAATGCCGCCGTGAACCGAGGATCACGGTCGGATACGAGTTCACGGGGTAAACCGTGGAGTCAAAACACAGTGTCGATGAAGACACGCGCACAGCCGTGGGCGTTGATCGATTCTGGGACTGCATAAAGATGTACCATCTTGCTGAAACGATCCACAAAGACAAGAATATCATTATTCTATTTAGTGTCTTCGGGAAACCCGAAGACAAAGTCCATGCAAACGGCCTCCAACACTCTGCCGGGACCGGCAGAGGTTGTAACGGTGCACGGGATGAAGGACTAGGCTTCACCCGTTGACAGACCTCGCAAGAACGAATGTACTTGCCGACAAACTGATACTGGCGGGGCCAGTAAAAGTCACGACTGACCGTGAGGTAAGTCTTTTCTCGGCCACGATGCCCGCCAGACGGCGCATCGTGACATTCGAACATGATGCGTAATCGCCATTCATCATGATCGGGATCGACGACACGCGGCGTGTCTTCGGCAACTGCTGTATAGTATAGCAAGCCATTGCGAGTCGTGTACCGATACAAAGAGGAACGGTACAGGGCCGGCAAATCCGACAAGTATTTCCGGGAAGGGTTCGCAAGGTGACCCACCAAACGTAGGAGATTCGTGTCTCCTGCGTATGCCTTCCGCACGTCGTCGAGTAACGGCGACGACGGCACACTGATGTACAGTGTCGCAACAGTGGGCAAGGCCTCACTGTTGACTCGGGTCGTTGGCTCGAAGTCGGTCCGACGTGATAATGCATCAGCGACGACATTAAGTCGTCCTGGCTTGTACTCCACGGAGAAGTAATACTCCGCGAAGAAGGACATCCACCTCGCCATCCTTTGCAAGAGGTGTGGACTGTTTACGGCCGTGCGTAGTGCTGCATGGTTCGTATAGACGATGAACGGTCTATCTCCCAAGAGATAGACCCGGAGCTTAGCCAGTGCATACTTCATGGCAAGGAGTTCCTTGTCATGCACTGGGTATTTGCGTTCAGATGGTTGCAGCTGACGCGATTGATAGCAGACGACGCGCTCTGTGCCGTCTGTGTCATACTGCATCAACGCACAGCCGATAGAAAAATCGCTGGCGTCACAGACCACATGAAAAGGTCTGTTCTGATCTGCAATCGC